CATTTGCCATTTCGCCATTAAAAATTCCCACTTCGCCATTTGCCATTTCGCCAAAATGGCGAAGTGGGAAACTGGCGAAATGGGAAGACACCTTTAGAAACGTCATTACTACGTGGTGTTTCTTACCACCGATCGTATACAAATAAAACACATCTGCTCCTAGGTTGTTATGTCATGCTGACCACGTAGATTCCAAAGCCCATCTACTCTCTCCGCTCGAGGGCCGTTATCACTGAGCAGCATAGAACCACATACCTTTCCCCCCATCTGACAGTAAGTGAATGAAAGTAAAAAGTGCTGCTGAGTGGAAAGAGTAAGGGCTCTTGTAGTTGTCCTTGTGTTTTTGTAAGTGGTCTCTGCTTTTCGGTAATCTTGGGTTTCCCTACTTTACTCGTATCGCTGGGTTTACACTACCGACCACGTATATGTCTATATAATATGTTGTTTATCCTCCGTAACTGTTAGAGGGAGGGGTGGCAAGGTAGCCGTGTCTGTAAGATGTTGTAACGTATTGTTGGCCGTCGTACTCAGAAATAATTATTTTTACTGCGGTTGAAATAATTTAACCGCGGTAAAATTATGGCCCTGTTACGCAATCAGAGGTCGTGTTACGCATAATTTAACCGTGGATAAATTATTTTTGCCGCGGTAGAAATAATTCAACCGCGGTAAAATTATTGCCCTTTTACCCAATCAGATGCCTTGTTACACATAATTTAACCGCGGTAAAAATAATTCAACCTCGGTCTTATTATGTGTAACAAGGCCTCTGATTGGGTGAAAGGGCAATATTTTAACCGCGGCTAAAATATTTATACCGCGGAACAAATTATTATTCCTGAGTACGATGACCAACCATAGTAACGTGTTACTTACGGCAAGGATTAGAGTGCGATATATAATCTGTTGCACGCTGCGTGGTAGCGCACGCCACCTACCGATCAACATCGACGTCGCCGTGCCATGACCCCTTAGACACGTCTGTGTTCAGTTTGTCATATACATGTATGTGTATGTCGATCGGGGTAGATCCCAAACGCCTTCTGCTGGCTCATTGACAGAGCCATGTATAATCCCGAGCAGCATACGAGGACCCAATCCCAGCCCCAATCCGGAGTAGAGTGGGTGATTTTTGAGAGGCGGTCCGGCTTTTATCCTACAAGGTATTACGCCGTAATTAGCTCGTACGGTAAATATCTTTATCTTGTATCTGCGAGCGCGGACAGTAACTGTCCTCTAACGTCGGGAGAAAGTGTAGGGTGCGGGCAATCAGCCTTGCAGTGACTGAAGGCAATAAGTATGCGCCAGCGTCTTCGCACCCGTTTACAGTTTATTGCCGTGGTCGTGGTTGATGATCGATTGAGATCGATTTACAGATGCGTTTGCACGATCGAAAATAATACGATAAAATATACTGTGATCCGACACGTATACTTGAGTGAAGAAATATGCGTGAATGTTCGTAATAACGAACAAGAAGAAATCGCACGAGGCCAACGTCACGACTGCGTTACCTTAAAGTGATTACGTCACCGTAAATAGTAAAAGTAAAAAAATCATGTCCACCTTTTCACAAAATGTAAGTGATTCTGTTCACTTTTTATGGTTAAATTGCTGCATTATACTTCCTATTTTGCTATTCCGTTCGATGTGAACATACACTCGCGACTAATACATAGCCCATAGCAAGAATTTAATGTCGTGATCAATATATCAAATCGCACAGATTTTTTGGATTTTTAACTAGTTGAAAAACAATCTTATAAATCAGGTAAGAATTTGAGGATACATTTAGTGCCGTTAGTACTTACTTTTCATGTAAAAAAAATTCCAACAATTTTTTTTTACAAATATACACCATAGAAAATTTGTGACGTAGTCTATTTAAGCCTCCCGATGGAGGTTGCGGCCGCTCTTTACCTTTGGGTGGAGGCAGTGCCATTCTGCCGCGTGGCGCGATGGTAAATGCGTTGATTAATGCATGCGGTATGATCGTGATATTCTTATTTAAACAAGCGCGGTCACTCAGCAAGCGGTGGACTTTCTTTTAGCTATGTGCACTCGATCGGCATGACAAAACTAGGTGGCTGGGCAACCAGAACATCTGAACAGGTTCGTTAGCAGACTTAAGTTATCAACATGGAAAGTGCCCAGTTGTGGACATGGAAAGTGGTCTCTTGTAAAACGGTGAAAAAAGCTCACGCGTGTACGATAAGAAATGTGTTTTATGTATGTAAAATAGAACATCAATAAGTAAACCCGAGGCCAGTGAACGTAGAGGGTAAGGAACAATGTATTATTATAGATATTAACTTGGATCATCACTCGATGTCATTTCAATATAATGTTAGATATCTATTAAACTATTAATTATTGTATTGCGATTTAACATGAAGTGCTAAATTGTGTAAAGTTAAAATTGTTCTAAGTTAAGTGGTATAAATTGTGTTGTTCTTGTTTCTCGTGTGTTCACTGGTATGCCTAATTTACGAGGCTGCGTGACATTGGAAATTTATTTAGTTAAAATATATAGCAAATGTACTTTTGATCTTAATTCAAATTTTTATTTTAACACTTAGTTACACTATGATTTAACACTCGAATACTTACTATAATTATTGTAGTATACAAAATTAATAGCCATGCTGTTTATATTATACATATACGCACGCACGTACGAACGCACGCACGCACGCACGCACGCACGCAGCACACACACACACACACACACACACACACACACACACACACACACACACACACGCACACACACACACACACACACCACATAAACCAATGGTCGAAAGAACCAATTAATTTCTTTTTTACAAATAAAAACGCATCAGACGGTTCGACCTTCTTTTCGTCCTTAAATAACAGAACCTACACGCGCAGACCGAGTGACGCACCCCCCCCCCCCCTCACACACACACTACAACCAGCTATCTCTACTCCCCGGCAATACATAAAACGAACGCTCGAATCGACTGATGCGTTTCTATTTGTTCAGAGAAATTAAATTAATTGCTTCATTTGAACGAATCATTTGTGTCCTTTTTTGTGGTGAGCTACAGTGTCATTGACACTTTCATTTGCTCAATTAAAACTGACTTCTTCTCACTCACTAACCATCAACGTACATTATAGAAACGATT